TAACTCATTAAGAGCACAGCCTATAACTCCAAGGTCACAGGTTCAGATTCCTGTACCAGCCAGCCACCAAAAAAAAGAAAAACAGAAAATAAACATACGTGAGGATGTGGAGACACTGGAACCCAGTGCACCACTGGTGGAAATGTAAAATTATGCAGTTGCTATGGAAACAGTACAGCAATTCCTCAAAAAATTAAAGATGGAATTACCATACAACCTAACAATTCCACTTCTGGGTACATACCCAAAAGAACTGAAAGCAGAGTCTTGAAGAAATCTGTACACCCACATTCATAGCAGCATTATTCACAATAGCAGCATTATTTACAACAGCTAAAAGGTGGAAGCAACCCAAATGTCCACCCATGGATGAAGAGATATGCAAAATGTTGTGTATACATTCAATGGAATATTATTCTGCCTTAAAAAGGAAATTCTGATACGTGCTACAACATGAATGAACCTTGAAGATAGTATGCTAAGCAAAATAAGCCAGTAACAAAAGGACAAATTACTGTATGATTCCACTCATCTGAGGTACTTAGTGTAGTCAAAGTCACAAACACAAAAAGCAGAATGGCAGCTGCCAGAGTCTGAGGGAAAGAAAATGGGGAGGTGTTATTCAATGGTACAGGCTTTCAGTTTTGTAAGATAAAGTTCTGAGATAAATGGTGGTAATGGTTGCATAATGAGAATGTACTTAATGTCACTGAACTGTGGATTTAAAAATGGTTAAAACAGTAAATTTTACATTATGAATATTTACTACAATTCAAAAAACTTTTTTTCTAAAAAAAGGTGATTCTTGCCATGTAATATCCTGTTGCCATGGAACCCTGGAGAGTTCCTATCCAGAAGGAGGCTCTCACCAGATGTGTTCCCTGGACCGTAAACCCAAAAAACTTTTTTTCTAAAAAAAGGTGATTCTTGCCATGTAATATCCTGTTGCCATGGAACTCTGGAGAGTTCCTATCCAGAAGGAGGCTCTCACCAGATGTGTTCCCTGGACCGTAAACTTCCCAGCTTCCAAAATTCCCATGTGGAGATACACACAAAGAAAACACCACGTGAAGACAGGAAGAGATTGAAGTTATGCATCTACAAGCCAAGAATGCCAAAGATTGCCAGTAACAACTAAAAGTTAGGAGAGAGGCAAGGAACAGATTCTCCCTCAGAACCTCCAAAAGGAATCAACTTTTACTGATTCCTGTATTTGATTTTGGGATTCTGGTCTTCAGAACTATGAAATGGCATTTTTGTTGTCATTTTTGGTTTTTCTTGGCAGCTGACTGGTATGGAAATCCAAACTCTTGGCCTTGGTGTTACAAAGCGTTGTTCTAACCAAATGAGCTAATGGCCAGCCCAAACTGTAAGATAATAAATTTCTCTCAAGTGAAAAAAATTAAAAATTCAAAAATGCTAAAAATTAAAATAAGAACAAGGTGCACCAATAATGGTAATGAAGAATTCTTTTAAAAAAAAATTATTCCTGAAAAACCTATTTTAAAAATCAAATAGAATACCTAAACTGATTTTTTATGTGATAATTTCTTATCAAGCATGCTCAAATTAAGATATTGATTGGAGCTGAGAAATCTACTGGCATTGGTAATTAAACTGATTTGCAGTTAAACACAATAAATATTTCACTTCTCTGCAATCAGGATTCACATACACAAAGGCTGAAACGTTTCTTAGGGTATGGAAGTATTCTAATATTATAGTATATTATATCACAAAACTTCTTTGTATTTTATATCATTCTCTCATCCCTGCATCAGTTTATCCTATAAGATAAAAGTGACAAGACAATTTTGTAGCTATTGGCAGACATTTGCTATATCTCATATATACAGAAACTGGATGGAAGAGTGGAAAAAGAAATACAATATGGTATACTTCTACTTGAAGGTATGCTGCTAACAGCAGTGCCAGCTTTTGGTACTTACAAATCTTCCTTACCCTCCAAACCAGATCCAATAAAGGACACAGTCTGGGATATTAAAACTAAACAAGGCCATACCATCCACAGATTCACATCGGCCATTAATACCCAGTTCCTAGAAGTACAACTATAATCTCCACGGTATCTAAGTAGCCCACTTCAGTCCATTGCTGACTCATGTACTAGATATGCCATTGTGGGGCCTTCAGTAGACTAAATTTTTGTTGAGTCAATGAAAATTTAACAAGTGCATTATTTGAGGTTTTCCTCATTGGTTTATTCCACTCACCTAGAAGAAATCTAGACACCCAATGGCTCACCATCATTAAAACAGTCAACACAGGGTATACAAAGCAGAAAGTTGCAGACAAACAGACTTGGAATGGGCCAGAAATCTGTTGTTACTTCACTGTGCTGTTTGAAGAATATACAATACTCTCTATCCCCACTGTTATTAATATAAAAGATATATTTATAAAATATTTAGTAAACAACATTCAGGACTGTCGTATCTAACTTTTAGCTTTCTATAATTTGACAATCCTTCAACCATAGACATACTCGTTTTCTTGAGAATGCACTGTTAAAAATGTTTCACAGAGTAAACATAAACTGTGTTTTGTTATATGTAGTAAGATCTTCATTAGTCTTATTGGGAAGTTATCAGTGATACTCTAAGTCACCCACTATGTGATTGCAGGTATTAAATACTTTGCGAAAGGTCAAGGCAGACTATAAGAAAAGTGTCTGGGACTAACAAAGTTTAAGATAGGAGTGGGATTCAAATCTAAGATAAAAAAGGGAGAAAAAAATGCTACCAAGTTCTGAAATAGATATTGAAAAACTGCCCATAATTTGCTTCTAAATAATCAGGGAAATTGGGGTTAGAAGGTAGGCAAACAGGTGTGGGAATACAGAAAATAAGATAAGTGATAAGGTGACTGTTGTTGAAACTGGGTGATGAGGACAAAGGAGTTTGAAATTTTCCATAATAATTTAAATTTGGAAGTTATTCACAAACGTATGTATAGTATACATGTAACAGAAACGCTACCTTATAAATTTAACAAATAAAATCTGAATTTGAATTGGCCACGGCAAACCAATGAAATTAATTTCATTGTTTTCATGAAAATAAAAACAAAAAATAACTTCACAGATGTACAATGAGAAAGTTTCCATATATCTCATTAAACTAAATTCTTTATCTACACTAAATTCTTCAAGTTAGTCAATCCTTACAAGTATACTCATTAGGTTTCAGTCTCTGGAGATATGCTATTATACACTGGAAGTCTCTAACCAAAAGAAAGAAAAACTGGAGTCCAATTTGATGGCCACAAAAGAAAATGGCACAGAAACAGTCTGTTTAGAGATCTACCAGATAAAGCCTCAAGATGGCTGTTGGTAATATGCTTAAAAGAAATCTTGAAGGGCTAGCCAGTTAGCTCAGATGGTTAGAGCATAGTGCTGATAACACCAAAATCCAGGATTCCATCCTGGATTTTACCATGATTGTACCAGCCAGTTGCCAAAAAAAAAACCCAAAAAACAAAAAAAAATTTTAAAACAATTCTTGAAAAGTACAGATATTAAAAAATCTTAAGTTATTCTAACAAAAATAAGCAAAGACTACGCCAAATTGCCATTTCTCCAAAATAAAAACCATTCTTTTAGGCCCATTTCTCTATCACTCTTTCACTACAAGCCAATCAGGCGGGAAAATATGCTACCAAGTACACCAAAATTAACAGGACATACATCCACATCATTTATTTATTCGAAACAAGAGTTAACAGAGCTAGAAAAAAATTGATATCTATTTCAAAACATGAAGTGAAAGAAAAATATATATAACTGAAAGAAACACACACTGAGAGAAAATGAACCTCATCAAAATTAAAACCTTTTGTGCTTCAAAGGATGCTATCAAGAAAGAGAAAAGACAACCCACAGAATGGAAGAAAATATTTGCAAAACATATACCAATGAGGGACTTATATCCAGAATGTATAAAGATCTCTAACAACTCAACAACAAAAAATAACCCAATTAAAAATGGGAAAAAAGGATTTGAATAGCCATTTCTCCAAAGATATGCAAATGGCCAATAAGCACATTAAAAAATGCTCAACATCATTACTCATCAGGGAAATGTAAATCAAAATTACAATGAAAAAATATATAAAATGAAATGACAGTAATATTCCCAAATATGCTATATTCACGGGTTATACTGATCTATTTAATACCTGTAACCCCCTCCAAAATGCTGTAAAGTAAATCCAGAAAAGTTCAAGCCTTTAAAATGCAGCATCACTTAATTAAGATTAATGGAACGACCCAGTTGAGCTTGTTCCAGAGAAGATAAGTGACAACTTCAGTTACATTATACCAGTTCAAGTGTGGCGAGAGGCACTATCACAGTTTTATTGTAACAGTTAACATTTACACAAGGGCCAGCCTGTGGCTCACTTGGGAGAGTGTGGTGCTGATAACACCAAGGCCGCGGGTTCGGATCCCTATATAGGGATGGCCGGTTGGCTCGCTTGGGAGAGCATGGTGCTGACAACACCAAGTCAAGGCTTAAGATCCCCTTACCGGTCATTTAAAAAAAAAAAACAAAAAACATTTACACAGTGCTCCATTAGTACCAGGACCTATTATAAGGGCTTCACAATCGATCTTTTCAAAACAATTTATGAAGGTAGAGAAAATATCTTCATTTTATTCATTTATTTATTTTTCTGTTTTCTTGGAAAATATATTATCTTGCCAAAAGCCATATGACTAATATCGTTGGTATGAAAGTTTAAATCCAAAGTCTGATACCAAAGCAAGCACTCTTAAACTGATACAGCATATTAGCCTTCCTTAATATGTGAAAAGTTGATAAATAAAAAAGACATCCAATTTGAACCTGAACATCACCCTCCTCCTACATGGTTTACATACCACTCGGTTAGATCTACCATAGCCAGGTATTAAAATTAAGGCAAGATATTTGAGGTATGAAAACCTATCATTCAAAACAAAATATCCACATTCTATTTACCTTCTGTATTACTGACTGCTGGCTCAGGAGTGATTCTCCCATCATTAATATTAGGACTCCCCTCATTGGCATATATCAAATGGTCATCTTCTCTATTTTCTGGCCAGTGTGGTACCTCGCTTGTATCTGTTGAGCAGCTGCACACATCTTCATTCTTGTTGAAGTATCTCTGTAGCCACCCTGGCACGATATTCTTAACAGATTCTGTAACCCTGCTAAGAATGCCCTGTTTGGAGGAAAAACACATAAGACGGTTTCAGAAATACATCTTTTAAAATAAATATATACTTACAAAAAGCTATGCCAAGTAAAACACAACTGTTTCTGTTTTAGTCCGTTTTGTGTTGCTATAATAGAAATACCTGAGACTGGGTAACTTATAAAGGAAAGTGGTTTATTTGGCTTATGATTCTGGGACAGCTGCATCTGGCACAGGCCTCAGGCTGCTTCTACTCATGGCAGAAAAGCGGCAGGCAGCCGGTGGGTACAAGCAGATCACATGGCGAGAGGAAGCAAAAGAGAGAGAGAGGAGGTGCCAGGGTCCTATAAACAAGCTCTCATGGGAACTAATAGAGCGAGAACTCACTCATTACTCCCCCCTCCTCCAGGGAGAGCATTAATCCATTCATAAGGGATCCTCCCCCATGACTCAAACAGTTTCCAACACTGTCACATTGGGGATCAAATTTCCACATGAGTTTTGGAGGAGACAACACATCCAAACTCCAGTTTCCAACAAAGTTTACTAAAACTTAGTTACTAAAGTTAACGCTGATGTAATGATATTTTATAAATTCTATACCTATGAAATTCCTACTTTTTTCTTTCTTTTGTATGCATACATGAGCCAATAATTGTCCCAAATGGCTATATTATTCTAATGCTTAAAAAAACCCAATACGGGGGCCGGCAATAATTTCCTTCATAAAGCAGCATTAGTAGGACTTCAGGGAAAGGGTCGCAGAAAAGATAAAAGGACTTAGCAGGTAGAAAAAATAATAACAGTCGAAGCAAAATATATAAATCTACCTTGAAAGCAAACACAAGATAAAGGTCTTAAAAAAATCTTGTCAACAGAAAAGACAGAAGACATCTCTGATACAGGCGCCTAATAGTAATTTCCTTATTGTTTAAAAGGGTGTTGGTAACAACTGGAAAGTATGTAATTATTTTTCCACATTCTCTCCAAAGAGAAATTTTCAACAGCTCCACAAGGTAAGCTCTCTGTCAAACAAGCGAAGCCAACAGTTGTAGAATACTCACTACTGAAAAACACAAATTCCCGGCTGCCCTTTTCTGTATATATAGTATTAGACACTTTGGGAAAAATATATACCTACATCCAAGATTTAATATTTATAAAAACACTCATATAATACTAGTTATTTATCTCTTCCCCATATTTCAAACAACTTGAAAATGCTTACAAGAAGACAGACATTTAAAAAAGTAAGATACATTCTTGATATGAGGTGATAGGTTAGCTAAAGTACTACAGCAAGAAATCACTTGAAAGAAAGTGGTCTGTGGACTTCTGCAAGGTGTTTAGCTACTAGAAGTATCAGATTCCTGTGACCCCCTACCCATCTAAAAAAACAAGTACAGAACAACTTAAAATTGAGAGCATTCTTAACCAAAGGCCACTTATATAACAGCATTAGGTAATACTAGAGAATAATCAGAAAACAAAACTGAGCGGCCAAAACAGATATAATAAAGCTCATTCACTAAAGGGCATGAACTATGCTTAGAGACCTTCTCTTTCTAAACTAAAATTTAACCAATTTATTAGTCTCAGCTCAGAGCAGCTGATCTGGAACCATTATGAAAGAACAAAAATCTCTACACTTCAGTAACCAAATACACCTTTGTAGGTTAAATGACCTACAAAGTCATCAATAAAAGGTTAAATTAATCTCAATATACTCTAATACTAATGGTTCTCAAAGCGTGGTCCCTTTAACAGTACTTCAACAATGCGAGGGTTAGAGGCACTGACCTACCACACACACACATTCAAAAATCTTCATATAACTTTTTATTTCCCAAAAACTTAACTACTATTAGCCAATGGACAGGAAGCAATTACCAATGACATGAACAGTCATTAACATGTATTTTGTATGTTATATGCATTATACACTGTTTTCTTACAATAAAGTAAGCTACAGAAAAGAATATGTTATTAAGAAAACCATAAGGAAGAAAAAAACACATTTACAGTACCGTACAGTACTTTTTGAAAAAAATCTGCATATAAGTGGACCTATGTGGTTCAAACCTGTGTTGTTCAATGGTCAACTGTAATATCAACATCACCTCGGGTCCTACCCTAGCCCTTCTAAAGGATAAACTCCAGAAGTAGGACCCACTTGTTTTATCAAGCCCTCCCAAGCAATTCTGCTGTATTCTCAAGTTTCAGAAACTCATATAGTTAAAGAAATTAGGAAATCAGATACATTTCAGAAAATTTAGATATATTTTAGAGAAAAAGGTCTCTCTAAAACAGGTGAATAAAATTGTGCATAATTAAAAGGTTTAAGCTTCAGCTGTCTAGAAAACATATACAATGCAGAACACTAGTCAGACATTAAAATATATTATAATGAAAATATTCTAAAATGAATCAGAAAAATACATCTTACAGTGACCACTTTGGACTATGTTTATACAATACAGAACTACTCCTCCTGTGTTTCTCAAACTTTAGCTGTGATTCTTGCCTGTACTATTTTTAATGCTTTAAGTACACTAACTTTTCTTGAAGATGGTGGAATAGATGGTCCCCAGTGTCACTCTCTCCCACAAATCAACCAATTTACAACTAAAAAAAAGCAACAACAGCCAAGTTGAGGCCACTAGAACTCAAGGGAAGAGGAGGAGAGATGTACGGAGTTCATGAAGGTGGGAGAAGCCACGATGAGAGAAAGAAAAAACTGCTCCAAATGTTTCAGGATGCAGCTGCTTTAAGGCTGGAGCTGCTGAGCGCATGGAGCAGTAACCAGCAGAAGCCACAGCTGTGCCCTTTGGATGGAGTTGCTTGGAGGCATCAGGGGAGAAGGAGACCTTTGGTGGCCCCCAGGACAGCAAGACCATTAACAGAGTTCTCATGTACCTACACAGGAGTGAGGAGCCACAACAACTGAAAAAAAGGAGCCATTCAGAGGCTGGTGAGTCATTGCAAAGGGACCAGCCCAAGGCCTGTTCCATGGGAAGCGTTTGGAGCACACGCAGTGGGGGAGACAGGCCCACCAGGAGAACACCGGACACAGCAAGGACAGCCGATCTGCCAACCAATCAGCACAGGACCACTCAGAGGAGACTGGTTGGGAATGCAGAATTGCATGGGGTGCAGTTTGATGAAAAAACTCAGGCCCCGATTGGAGTTTCTACACAACCCAGGTGCACCAGGTCCCTGGAAAGCCAGAAGTACCTATAAGGTCAACCACGATCATCAGGAACCATAAATATGTCCCCCACAAATGTATACTGAAGCAATCTACAACATAGAGAATAATCACAATGCTGGAGAAAACACTGTCTTCACTTCTGCTGGAACTGAGAAGTACCTCAAAGTAGCTACCTAATTCCAAACCAATGGTCAGCCTATAAAGCAGCCTAAGACTGCTTAATTTGCTTGAAGAGGGAAAAATCCCACACGTGCCCACGTTAAACCATTTTAATATTTCTCTCCTTTGGACACAAATACAATAGTGTAAGAAATGTTTATCAGATGGCTCTCACATTTCTTATCAAGACTTTCAGATTTTTATCTAGGCATGGGAAGCAGCAGCTTCTCCTAATATGATGTTCAGTCTAACTTTGAAAAACAAGACTTAAAGACTGTCACCTTAGGACACAACAAATTCCTGAATGAAACTGTTAATAAATGTATCTATAGGCCCCACTGAAAATAACCTTTTTTAAAAGGAAAACAATATGACATAAGAAGAAAGAAAATCTGAGGTCAGTAGAGCATTATCAAGTTTGAATCCAGAAAATGCAAACAAACAAACAAGTCCACGTTCCCATATTTGTTGTCCAGATCTTGTGAATTCTGAAAGCAATGAGTTAATTTGAGAACTCAAGTCTTGACTGCATTTAAACCCTCCATGCATACACAGATGAGTGTCCAATAAATACCGACAATGAGCCTAGGGCAAAGATCCCACAGAAACATGCCCCAGAAGATTAATGGCTCATTTAACTGTTCCCAGAAGGTCAAAGACCGATTCTTTGTTTAGCTATCAACAAAAGCTTTTTAACAGCACATGGCTTCTGGGTCAGCCCGTGGCTCACTCGGGAGAGTGCGGTGCTGATAGATAACACCAAGGCCACGGTTCGGATCCCATACAGGGATGGCCGGTTAGCTCACTGGGTGAGCGTCGTGCTGACAACACCAAGTCAAGGGTTAAGATCCCCTTACCGGTCATCTTTAAAAAAAACCAAAAAAACAAAAAAACAGCACATGGGTTCAAAATGCATACAGTAATTAACTCTCATCTGGGCATGCATACCAAAGAATCTTTTTCTAAAATCCTCTAATGATTTAGCAAAGTGTAAATACCAGACAACACTTGTGAAAACCCCAACAGACATAAATATCTAGTTATGCTAGTTAATAATCTAAGTTATACTCCTTATATACTAGTTATTCTTGACTTGAGGTATATTCATTTCATGTTTTAAGATTTGTGGCATGCATATATGATTTATCCCTGGCACTACTACAGATAGACTCTTGCTTTTTGTTTTAAGTAACTGATCAGGTAATGCCTGTTAACAAAAAGTCCTGAAGTCAGTCAGTATTCACTGATCTTAAGGCAGTTTTCAGCTGTCAGACATATTTATAGTATCACTATAAATAAAAAACTTATGGCAGTGAATGCTATACTCTCAACTCTGTTAACTTTGGATGACATGTAAACATGTTTTCAATATACATGATAAAGTTATGACTGTGAAAAGCTCAAGAAAAGCATCAGATATTTATTTATTTATTTATTTATTTATTTTTATTATTATTATTTTTTTTAAAAGATGACCGGTAAGGGGATCTCAACCCTTGGCCTGGTGTTGTCAGCACCACGCTCAGCCAGTGAGCAAACCGTCTCAGCCCATTTTTGATAGGCTGTCCCTATGGCTTGCATTACCAGCTGGCTTCTGGTAAGATTGGCCCCTGACAGATACTAGAGGACACTAGATGTCAGATGATGGGAGGAAAGA